GACTTTTAAGATGATCGAATTGGAAAACATTTTCCATATGATATTACACTAATCGACGTTCTTGTCCTCTTCTTTCCAGATTCTTGTTTTTCTTGCTTTTCAGGCAAAATTCTTTTTCTATTCTTTACATGCAAGATTCTTGCCTTTCTTGTGAGATTCGTGTAGACCGAATCTTGTCTGATGAGGCAAGAAATTCTTCTCCAGACAGATTCTTGTTCTCTTACCTTCTTGCCTGATTCTTGTTTTCCTTGAATTCTTGCCTGATTCTAATCATATAAAAAAAGCCTTTTTTAGGTTATTACTACCTTTTTCATATCGTTTTATTATAAGGATTTCACACCATGTACAAAAAAATATGAAAGAACAAAAAAATACTTTAATTTTCACATATTCATGAAGTAGTTTTAATTTTTAACACAAAAAAAATAAAAATTTTTTTTTATTATTTATTCTCTTAAAATTTTACCTATACGAAGAGAATTATCAAACAATAGTTTTTTAAATAAATCCATATTTTCTTCGTCTATTATATGTAATACTTTTATCAATAGTGAAAAATCTAGAAAAAAAATAAAATATATAGATATGAATTAGAAAGATATCAAAATGTGTTCAATAAGGACTGCCTTCAGTAAACAATGAGAAAATGGATATCATATATTCCATTGTTTTCTTGATATGAAATAAACTTTTACTATACATCCAATTAAAACAATAACTTACTAGATGTCGTTTGAATTAAATAAACGCTTCAGAAAAAGAAAATAATCTAAGTAAATTTGCACTATACTTATCGAGCCGATAATAATCATGAATAAATAACGGTCAGCTAATGCTTTTATATATGCGATAAACAAAGACCACATCACGTGCCGTTCATCTTGGAAAGCTGGCAAGAATCTGTTTTCTTTTCTATTATATAATCTTGTCTGAATATTAAGAAACTTAAAATATCTTGTGTTTCTTTTCAGATTCTTTTTGTCTTGAACTTCAGTCAAGATTCTTTTTAAAGGGAAGAAAAAGATTCTTGTCTGAATATTAAATATATCTTGAATATCTTATAATTCTTGCTTGATTCTTTTATTTCTGATTGTTCAGACAAGATTCTTGTCTACTGGAAATTCTTGTGAGATTCTTTTTTACTTTCCTGTCAAAAAGAATCTTGCCTGAACACAAGAAGCTTGTCTGAAAAGCAAGAAAAGCAAGAACCTGGAAAAAAGAGGACAAGAACGTCGACTTGTGTAAACTATTAGTAGAAATGAATTTAAATTACGTAGTCGAATATGGAGCCAACTTCACCTACGTGATCTTATTATTATTGCTCTTTATCAGATATATATTCGATTTTTTTATTAACCCTTTCGGGACCAACTTTTTTTTTATCTTTTTAATGATCGGTGTATCATTTTATAACTATCTATCTTGATGGCAACCTCAGGAAAAAAAATTTTGTTTTTTGAAAAACTGGGGTCCCCCCCAGAGACGGTGGCACATATTTGTACCACCTACCCTGTGGGTTTTTCAAAAAAAATTTTTTTTTTCCTGAGGTTAGATAGTTATAAAATGATACACCGATCATTAAAAAGATGAAAAAAAAGTTGGTCCCGAAAGGGTTAATAAAGAACATTTTCTCAATATATAGAGTGATAGAAGAAAAAATTCAATATTCTCTTTCTCGTAGACAAGAGTCTTGCAAACATATATTGTCAAAATTTCTTACAAAAAGTAGGTTTCTCTGAGCGATTAGCAACTCTTGTTGAAAGAAAGCGATCTTAAAAAACAGAAGCTTTGATCTGCTATAGGAATCTTTCACTTAAAACTATTTTGATAAATTACAATTCGAAACCATTAAGTTTTTGTATAGAATTTTGACAAAATACCTTAGCTGGACATGATTTTATAATATAAATTCTTATTAAGCTTTACAAATGAAACTGCAATACTAAGGTTTTTCGTGAAAAATTCTATAGTAATTCTTTTGATTTCGAGATTTGAATTTTTAAAGTAACTTAATATTTTATAAAAATAGACTTAGTTCCTTTGAAACGGACTCTTTAAAATAGAATTATTGATTGTTCAAGTAGAGAAAGCATACTAAAAATTATTTTCACATTATTTATAAAACTGTTTTTTTCGATACAAAAAAAATAAAGTCTCTTTAGTAGCATAGAAATTGAAAATGGTAAGGTGTTTTCGTATCTACTTCAAGATTATATAAATATGAATCGTTAGAAATTCATTAATCTTCGCACTGGAGTAAGATAAGAAGAATCCTGTTGTCAGACTATTTCACCATTTTATAACCACTGTATGCACAATAATTTACAATAACTTGTTATTTCAAAGATATCCTTCATAAATACGATTAATAGGAAACAGTATCAGTATTATTCTACATTTCCTTATGATAATACGTTATTTGTTGTAGAAATCTTTTTTTGTAAAAATATATAATAATTAGTTAAGATACTAACAACATTAAAGTAATATTTTTTTATTATCTAATATAAAATCATAGCTACTCCATCAATTCTCTTGTTTCATTTCGGAGTATTATTAAGAGATTGTGCATTGGTTTATTGTACTCGTGATAATACTATAACTCTCATATGATGTGATAACTAGTGTTATTTCATATTTTGAAATATCTATTTATTTTTTCTCATCGTCTTTTTAATTTGTAGATTCTATTAAACTACTTATTTCATATAGATAATTTATTTCCTTATTATACAATGCTTTCGCGTAAACGACTAGCAGCAGGAACAAATGCACACAAAGAACCACAACTTACGAGTTCGGGACGAACAGAAGCTGTCGCTTCATTTGTTCAACAACGAATTTGGCTTCATGAACAACTTTATTTTCATTCTTCCGACGTATCTGTTTACAATATTTTGCTACCATTGATAATCAAACAAGGTTCATTATCAATCGAACGTATTCGTTCAGTTTTACTTACAGTAATTGAACAGCATACTGTTCTTCGTACTGCTGTTCGTTTTAATTCGCAAAGTAATCAAATCGAACAGTATATTCAGGCTGCCACCGATGATATTTATTCATTTAAACATTCACGTGGTGTTTGCACATGGGAGCAACTCGATCAACTACTTACAAATGAATCGGTAGGAAAACACTTCGATATTGAATCAGGAAGAGTAATGAGATGCCATATAATTCAACGAAGTAATGATGAACATGATCATCGATTGTCTGAAGGTGATCTTATTACTATTACATTTCATCACATATCATTCGACAATAGCTCACATAAGCCATTTATGGAAGCTTTAAAAAAAGCTTTTTTGACTGATCATCATCAACAACCAGTATCATCGATTCCACAATATATCGATTTCACATTATATGAACAGACTATGTTAGCCGATACAAGAATGGATTCAAAAATGAATAAGGCACGCCAGTTTTGGTCAAATCTTATGGATGGTTATGATTGGAATCGAACACGGCAGTTGGTATCTGGCGAAACAGATACCAAACAGATTCGTTCAGGTCGGGGTTTTTCAACTACATTTTCTGTCAATCAACATGTTGTTGATGCGATGATGCTATGTGCTTCCTCGAATAATTTCACTATGTTTGCGCTGTCACTTGCTTGTTATTATGCATTCTTATTCAAGTTAATAAATGATGACGACTTGTGTGTAGCAGGTAACATAGCCAACCGATTTATACAAGAAACAAAAGATATGATTGGCATGTTCGTTAATCTTGCGCCTTATCGAATGGAAATTGAGCCGAATGTGCCATTCGATCACTTGGTGCGAAAGGTACAACAGCTCAGTAGTAATATTATTGAACATGCTTGTTTACCTTATCAGCATATTATTAATTCACATGATAAACGAGGGCATCAAGTATTACCTTCAACATTATTTCACTACGAATCGTTGATGTCATCCATGACACAGAATAATAAATCAGAAGGAACTACAAACGAAGGTTCTGTTCTTGGCATCTACTTTGATCGAGATCGATCTCATGGTAATGGAATAGCATTGTTTGACTTAACCCTCACAATAGCTCATGATCATCAGTCCCGAAGCACGGAGTGTTTTGTCGATTGTTCGGCAGATATATTCAAAAATCAAGCTGATGTTGATCTACTTGCAAATCGTTTTCAGCATATGCTCACACAACTCTTCGGTTTCTCAATGAATGATGAGTCAATGCATAATCAATTTAGTATGCCTATCAGTAAATTATCACTTATTTTACCAGAAGAGGTTGAAGAAATGCAACGAGTAATTTTTCGTAAATTATCAAATATTGCAAATGAAGGTATGATTATCTATTTTTTTGTATTTTTGAGTGGATAGTGATGAACTTTGCGTAAATGTGCTAACATATGAGATTTCTTTTAGTAATGAAATCTCTGACAATAATATTTCAAAGAATGTAACCCATTGGGAACTGAATACAAAAAAATGAATCAAACAGAAATAGTCAAATAATGCAATAAGTTCTATATTGATTCATATTTTAAACATTGAACTCATAGAATAAGTGATAGACGTTAGAATACTCTATTCTGAAATAAAGAGCAGCTAGACTTAAATTTAAATTTTTATAGAGATTAGATTGAAATACTAAAATTAAATATTCTTCTACTTATCGAAACTAACTATATTAATCATATATAAATTTAAATTACTTTACGACGAAACAGATTAGAACAGTAATGCCTATCTATTACTTCAATAAAAAAACATGTATTCGAGATATTTTTAGATTTATTGCCAATAAGTTTTCAATTAAGTTCCATAAAATTGAAGCCATTGTGTACTTCAAACTTGACGAAGTATATCGAGAGTGTGATTAAGACCATGAGAAAAGAACTAAATATGATCTCTATAAATTAAAAATTTTAAAATACAAATGATTACGTTACTGAATATCTGAAAAACTATGGATTGGAGAATTGTGTCTAGAGAAAGTATTATAAAACTAATCAAGTTTTGTAAATTTTGATTGGAAGCTTGCATAAAATAGAGCCTTAATGTCTTCAGCCTATTTCATTAGCGAGTGGGATCGTAACATGGCCTTTTCTTCACTATTGTATGAGTAAAATAGGGTGTAACATGAATTTCGCAGTATATTTAAAATGTTAGTCAAAACGATACCTACTAAATTCAGATACAATTTTCACCCAACATTATGCCGTGTGTGCGTGCTAACCATATGATTGAGTCTATAAAATATGTTTATGGAAAATAGCTGCTGGTAAAAGCCTATGATGAAAATCGTATTTCTCTTTGTAATGAATATATTCTTTTCAGCTTTTATAAACGTTCATTTTTTTCCTCAAAGTGATCTACTCTTCAAAGGGTTATTACGGAAGTTTCACTTTTACAGCACCAGCATCCTATGCACAAACTCGTATCTGGCTTGATGAACGAGTTCGTTTCGATTCAGGCAAATCACAAATAGCAAATTACAATATGCCATTTATCTATCGTCCCTTTCCGAACCATACTCTATCAGCTCAACAACTTTATAACGCTCTTCAATTAGTTCTTGCAAAACATCAATCACTTCATACGTCATTAATCTTTGATACAAAAAGGAATCTACTCATGCAAAGAATTATTGAATTAAATGATAACAACATCAGACTATTTACATTGATTGAAAGTACTTATGAAACAGATGAACAACTCAATGCTATCATCGAAAATGAGAAA